TGGAAGCAGAGAATGTCCGAGTGTATTAGGTTAGGTGCGCACTGCTCATCGTGTTTGACTGAATGGCTTAGCCATAGGTCAATTTGTGACGTCAGAAGTAGCGTAGTGCATAATGGTGTAGAGTAAATATCAACTTAAAACCACATAAGTTGCACTTTACACTTAAGTGCAATCTGTATGTTTGCTTGGCCGGAAGCTGGTTATTTTATTTAATAAAGTTTTAAATATGAATATTTGATAATGCTTTAGATTACAGCCTGGAAAGTACTGCGTAATTAAAGCGATTTAACAGCGTAACCTTTGGTAATTATAGTGTACCTATAACATACTTACAATATAAGTATAAAGGAACAATATATTAAGTTTGGGGAATAAGGAGGTAACAACCAGGAGAATTAAACAATTATTTATACTATAAGTATTAAAGGACTAAAGGGTGTTTATCCTACTATTGTGATAACAATCTTACATTTGGGAGCAATTTCACCAGAAAATTGTACACTGCGTACCTTTTTGAAATAAAGGTGAACCAATACCTACTCTAAAATTACAGGCTTTTAAAAAAAATTACAGGGTACATATGCATTTATAAAGTCATCTTTTTTACTTAAGTGCACTGAAACGAAACTATTGCAACTTTTGCTTAAATATTGGGGAAAGATACACTTGTTTCATGTGGTGGTGCTTGTTACCCCCTTGTTCCATGTAGTTACAGGGTAAGTACAATAAAAATACATACACAGTTTTATATCACTGACTTGGAAACCTTTATTTATTATACAAGCACCACTTACCCTGTAACCACATCAAACAAAATATATGTCCCAGTATTTAAAAAAAATGCAATAGTCTTAGCTTTTCTTGCCTTGAAACATGTTAGCCAAAACTTAAACATCTGCACTTTTGCTATAATTTTTTTTAAAAAATATTAAAGAATTGTATAAATGCCTATATACTGTATGTACCCTGTCCTTTAAAAAAAGCCTATACAGTATTGATACACAATTTTTACAAAAAGGTTTGCAGTGTATGTACTCGCTAAATTGCTCCCAAATGTAAGACTGTTGTATCATAATAGTAGAATAAGTAACCCTTATTTCTATAATACTTACAGTATAAATATATATTTTTAATTCTCCTGGTTGTTACCCCATTATTCCCAAAACTTTACCCATATACTTACATGCAAGTCCTTTATAGGTACACTATAATTGCAGAAAGTTACACTGTAAATTCCTCTTAATTACATAGTACATTCCGGGCTGTAATCTAAAGCGTTACCGAATATTTTTCTTACACAAACTCATGGCTTTGCTTCAGAAGGCGTTTAATAACCCCCTCCCACTGTATATGCGCTCTTTTGACTCTGTTGATGCCTTCAAATGCAGACTAAAGTCTCATTTATTTGTTCAGGCTTTTAATTAGGCACCTGTGTTACATGATATGGTCATGTACTGTCTATGCTTTTATTGTGTGTATTTTATGATATTAATGTTTTTGTTGTAAGGCACTTTGTTGCCTTGTACCTGTGAAAGGTGCTATATAAATAAACTTTTACTTACTTACTTAGTTAACCTAACCCTAATATCTGGCCGATTGATCGGAGCATTCCTAATTTTACTTTAAAAGTAATCATAAATCATTATACTTATTATGCATACTTTATAAACTGTTTTTTATTGATTTCCCAAATGCCCTTCCAGTGACATTCCAAAACCGTCACCATTCCTATATAATTTTTTTGCTGTTTTTTTTTTATCCTGAGTAAAAATTGTTATTCTGTCATAAGGTATTGTGACGTGTAAGTAACATGATTTTTCTAAAATCAAAATCCCTAAAAAAAAAAAAAAAAAATGTTTTGCAGAGGCTCTTAAGAAGACAACACAGATCAACTGGCAAGGAACTGAGAGGGAACTCTCAAAATAGTCCAGGACAAGAGATGGAGGAGAGTGTCTAGATGCGCAAATGACTGTCTGCAGTGTAAGCTGTACTGATAAATGTACTGTATAGTTGCTGCTTCTTCTAACTGTCACCAATTTATATCCTGTTCAAATGTTCAGTAAAGACTGGGTCAAATACAGGTTCAAAATATGTATTTTAACAAATAGGTATTAAATAGAACTCTTTAATCTGACATAAATCTGCTTCTTTAAATATTGTCCCTGGAATTTCAGAATATAGCATAATATGATGAGTAATTTTAATAAAATTGAAAATATTTCAATATCACTGTGTGCTCTAATGCTTTAAAACTTGTTTGTGTGGTGTTGCTACTCATTTAGATGGAGCCCAGATGATCCCTAATTGGGCCACATGCATATGATTCCTAGTTGGGCCCCACCTAAAGCCCTGTGAAATCCTGTATAAAAGAAATCCTGAATCCTGAAATCCAGCAAGTTGCTGGGGCCAGCATGGAAACTATGGACAAACCCACTTAAAGCCCATATTTCAGCCCATATAGTAACCTTGTAGTACCCACAAAAAACTAAAGCTGGGACCAAGATAGGTCTTGTGCATGTGGCCCAGTTGGGGCCCACCTGTTTATAAGTGCGATCCTACATAAAACCCACCTGGGCGATTTACATGGCACCATTATGTAACCCGTGGACAATCCCATACAGAGCCCACTTTTCATTTCAAAGCCACATGGGACCCACATACAAATGTCGGCTGGGTTAAAGCTGGGCCCGAGATGGGTCTTGTGCATGTTGCCCACTTGGGTCCGGCCTAGTACCAAGTGTAATCCTACATAAAATTCATCTGGGCAATTTACATAGGGCCATTATGTAACCCGTGGACAATCCCATACAGAGCCCACTTTTCATTTCATAGCCACATGGGACCCACATACAAATGTCGGCTGGGTTAAAGCTGGGCCCGAGATGGGTCTTGTGCATGTTGCCCACTTGGGTCCGGCCTAGTACCAAGTGTAATCCTACATAAAATTCATCTGGGCAATTTACATAGGGCCATTATGTAACCCGTGGACAATCCCAATCAAAGCCCATTTTTCAGCCCATTTCAAACCCACATGGGCCCCACATATAAATATCGGCTGGGTTAAAGCTGGGACCGAGATGGGTCTTGTGCATGTTGCCCACTTGGGTCCGGCCTAGTACCAAGTGCAATCCTACATGAAATTCATCTGGGCAATTAACATGGGGCCATTATGTAACCCGCGGACAATCCCAATCAAAGCCCATTTTTCAGCCCATTTCAAACCCACATGGGCCCCACATATAAATATCGGCTGGGTTAAAGCTGGGACCGAGATGGGTCTTGTGCATGTTGCCCACTTGGGTCCGGCCTAGTACCAAGTGCAATCCTACATGAAATTCATCTGGGCAATTAACATGGGGCCATTATGTAACCCGCGGACAATCCCAATCAAAGCCCATTTTTCAGCCCATTTCAAACCCACATGGGCCCCACATATAAATATCGGCTGGGTTAAAGCTGGGACCGAGATGGGTCTTGTGCATGTTGCCCACTTGGGTCCGGCGTAGTACCAAGTGCAATCCAACATGAAATTTATCTGGGCAATTAACATGGGGCCATTATGTAACCCGCGGACAATCCTACATGGGGCCCATTTTTCAGCCCATTTCATACCCATATGGGCCCCACATACAAATGTTGGCTGGGTAGTACCATTTTTCTTTAAATGTCTTAGTTCTTAATTATAACTAGTCAAAATTGCATAAATAAATATCTGGAATTGGATTTTTTTTTCTAGTCAAAAGTCAAAACTTAATTATGACTAGAGATATGGGGCTATTTAAAGCTAAAATGGCTTGCCATATTGACCTAGCGCTGCTGTCCAAAGACTGCTGTGACGTGTAGTTCTGCAGTTCAGCATTTATCTCGGGACGGAGTGAAGATCTGAGATGTAAGAAGGAGCAAGTGCATGCAGGGCTTTAAATAAAAACAATAGAATCTTAAATTCAACTCTGTATTGAACAGGTAAGGAACCGTATGTGATGCTAAAACAGGGGTGATATGCTCCCTCTTTTTTTGTCCCAGTGAAAAATAAGAGCTACACCGTTCTGCACCAGTTGAAAATGAGTGAGGACAGGATTAATTCACCATGAAGAGACTTAAGTAATCTTGCCTGGATGAGATGAATGCATGAATTACAGTCTCCAAATCATTAAAAGTAAGAACATTTTAAACACTGGATCTGACTACAAACTGTATTTATTTGTCAAATTTTAACTCCCAGGTTTTTAACTTTACAACAAATGTTTTTTTGGGGGGGTTTTTTGAAGGGGACCCAGGGTAGGGCTTGAATTATCTAAAATATTCGTAGGAGTCTATTATAAAAACTGCAATTTAACTTCCATGTATTGACTGCAAATCGCCACATAGTAACACTTTCTATTGTTAATTTTATACTTATTTCAAGTAGTGCTACATTTCAAATTGCATTAACATCCTTCAATACATCTATTTTATACACATTTGCCATTTAAGATTGAAACCTTTAGGCACTGAATGACTTTCTTTGTACGCATTTGACATCTGCACATTTCAATGAAACAAAACTGCACGAATGCACACGTTTTCCTGGCTAGACTTTAAATTACTTAGTTGACTCATACCAAGGAACAATTAAATTCTTCTTACATTTTGACGTTTCAGTTCTGTAATTCTTTATACTCGCCATGACCTCCTGGATTTATCAAAAGAGCTTACCTTCTCTTAAATGACTAATGCCATTTAGTTGACAATCATATCTTCAGACAAAGGCAGAGTCATTTCTTACACCGGTAGTTTGTAATAGTTACATTTAATTATTCCCAAAAGATCAGTTGAATTCTCAGTGCTGTGAGTAATGTGGTTAAATAATAATTGTGATGAATTGGCATTAAAAAATATATTCTATTTTACAGAGTTGCAAGAGTGCTCTTTTCTAAAGCATCTGTATCCTAGAATTAACCTTGTGTAGAGATCACAAAATTAACCATCAGAATTCTCACACACACACAGGAGACATGTAGCAAGACTTGTAACAAACTGTGTATTTATTTTAATCACAGTTGAAAAACATTTGGAGAGAAGTAATAAGAAACTTATTTCTTGGATTCGTCCTCTTTGGAAAGAGTTTTCATGATTTCCTCTTTCTTAGCCTGCAGTCTCTCTTCACGGCGCTTGCGTGCCTCCCGGGTCTTTGAGCGACGAGCCTCCGCCTGATCACTGCAGGGTGAAAGAAGACACAGATTAGCACTGTTCTTTACAGGAGATTAAGACCATGTTTTATATTTAAAACTGCCATGGAATATTTTCAGGTATTTTCATCTCAATTCAGAATAAGAATTCTCTGATAGTTCACAGCAGCTGAGAGGTTTAGTGATGCTGAGCACACTGGTTATTGTGGTTAGCACACTTACGACAAGAGCTTCTTGCGGGCCTTGTCTGCTTTGAGCTTGTGTATGTGCTCCATCAAGATGCGTTTGTTCTTGAACACGTTACCCTTTGCCCTCAGATACAAACTGTGGTACCTGAATGAGAGACACAGAAACATTAAACGTTCCTTTATGCATCTAAAATTCAGACTGTACATTCTCCAAACTTTTAAGGAGAATGGATCTTGCCAAATCTGTAATTCACAATAGCAGTCCTAAAATGCTGCTATATGGTTGAGCGTCATTCCATTAAAAACTTCTGGGTAAAATGCAAGCAATTAAACTGAATCTCTCTTTAACACAGACTCACATGTGCCTGTCGATCTTCTTAGCCTCTCTGTAACGTCTCAAAAGGCGTCGCAGAATACGCATCCGTCTCATCCAGCACAGCTTCTCTGGCATACGTGCATTTGCTGTACCCTTTCTCTTACCTGCATGCAAACATAACCAATCACAACACACCCAGAAAAGAGCTCAACTACAACTGCCTACTTTTAGTGCCCTGGATTACAGAATTATTTCACTAAATTAGCCATAGAACACATTGTGTCAACTGAAAATTGCAAAAAGATTTAATTGGAAGCCCCACAAGACAAATTGGCATGTGAAAATTGCTGTGATTCCTGTTGCCATGATAACAGCAACTTCTTTGAATTCAGTCTAAATGGTGCAAATTATAACCAAATTTCATTGAAGTGGTACACACCAACACCCATGTGACGGCCCTTCCGCCTTGCCAGTGTATTCTTGCGGCATCTGGCACGAGAGTGCACCGTTACAGGCTTCTTGATGATCAAACCATCCTTCACCAACTTACGAATCTGCTGCCCTAAGTAAAGTTAGAAAGGCAGATGATTAATTCATTGCACCAATGCAGAGAAAAGTATTCAGGGAGATCTGAAATGCTTACGGGAATTGGCGTTTGCAATTTCATTGGTTTCATTTGGGTCCAGCCACACCTTCTTCTTGCCACAGCGCAAAACGCTGGACGCCAACCTCTTCTGAAGCCGAAGCATGCTGGAGGAAAAAAAAAAGACAGTTTTAGATCAATCCTATACATTCTTGACATTTAGTACAAAGCTACACAATTTCATTAACTTAATTGGATAATTTGAATTAATATTCAGCCATGGTCTACAGCAAAATATGCTGCCTAACAAGGTGTCTTGCAGTTTTAGATTCACAAAAGTACATAACTGTAATTCCTTCTTTTTTAAATAATAAATATAATAAATATTATATTATATATAGTAAAATATAAAAATATGAGGACATATTAGCGTTTATTTCTAACTGCCCTAGCTTTTAGGACAAGAAAACGTCAGAGTAACCCTAATCTTTATATGGCGCATCATGTCTGAACATGTTTGATAAGCAGGCCGCATTCACCTCGTAGACTTGTTATCACCGGAAAAAAATAATAAAATAAAAAAAGAAGTTTAACAAAAATAAAAAGCACACACAATGATAGCCTACGTTTTATTGCGTACAATGAATTTAAATAAATATAACGTGTAAAGTCACAACAGCTTATAAACGTTCCGACAACACGTTTGCCCGTCTGAAGACATAACATGGCGACTCACGTTACACCAATATAGCAACATTACATCGTACATCGTCTAATTATCTGTATTAAAAAGAGCACAGAGTGTATATCTGACAATATGCACATAAAACAAACGAATTAGATAAATAAATGAGAACAATAAAACAGAGTAAATCGCAAATTAAACCGTACCTCATGGCTGCTAGTCAGCGGAAGTCGAAAGCCACTGACAATGAGGAAGATTCTTCTTCTTCTACTGTGGGTTTAATGGCCGCTTGCATCCAATTTGTTGCATTACTGCCACCTACTGTACTAAATTCCCTTTACACTATATCCTCTTGTCCAATCCAGTTTCTTTTTAAAAGCCTACTAAATATTTCTGTTTTCTCTGCACATTCTAAAATACTTTTAATATTTCTCTCTAAACTTTCATCCTAAACTCTGTAACGGTAAAACTTTACAATAAGGTTCATTACTACTACCTTAGTTAACATGAACTAAGAATGAACAATACTTCTACAGCATGTATTAATCTTAGTTCAAATTAATTTCAACATAATATATAATAAATTACATAATTACATGCATAATAAATTTTTAAAATCAATGCACTGTGAATTAACATGAACAAACAGTTGGATTACATATAATACATATAACAAAGATTAATACATATTGTAACAAATGTATTGCTCATGGTTAGTTCACGTTAGCTAATACATTAATTAATGTAATGAACCTTATTGTAAAGTGTTACCTCTGTAACTTGGTCATAATTTATTGTAATTCTTGATTAAACTTCCCACAACATATTAAAATGCTCAACCGTCTCAAACTCCTGACACTGCTGCACATTCCTGTTGGGTGTTTTCGCATAATATGAAGAGTACCAGGTTAATATCTATGGTTAATATGCACCATTCTTATTCTGGTTATTCTTATTCTCATACCATTATCTCTTGACACATCCACTCTGTTTTCTATATAATATAAATGCCTCCCTTTTGTTTCATTATGCCACTGCTGCTGCCATTTGACCATTATTTCATCCCACACTGTGCTTATTCCCTCTGATTTAGAAAACTTTATATTGATTTTAACATTTTCTTTTTGCTTGCCTTTTAGATAGATAATAAAATATTGGCTCCACTCTACTGCTTCCAAAATGGCAACTTACTCTACAGCATACACACTCAGTCAGATACTATAGTAAGATGCTCTTTCACTAATATCCACAGTAAGACCGTTTGTATTTCCTTTGATCCATCTGTAAATATCTGAATACAATTATTATAGCCCTACTTGTAATCCCTAGATCTATGGTATTCTATTATATGTCCAATTATATTGTTTTATCTTTGGTAGCTCTTTGGTACCAAGGGTGTAGGTAGTAGTAGAGTTATAGAGGTCATTTAGTAGATGTTTTAAAGCATTGAATGTAATTATTCGATGTAGATTCAGCGCTTTAAACAATTATATTATAACTTAATCACGCACGAGCTTTAATATATATTTAGAGCATGATATGCCTACCTCGAGAACAGGAATGGTACGTTCCACAAATTACTGCTGGGTGTTGTAAGGCAATCGCATTTGTAGGCTAGCTTTGAAATGCTGTTTAATAAAATGACCACACGGGGGCAGTGTTTCAGCTGTTGAGAGATGAGAGCCTGTCTGGGGTTTCTTTAGTAGCCTAATCTAGTGAAATAATAGTTGGTTAGTGTGTTGATGCAGCAAAAAATGCAAAGTGCCTTTTTTAGTATGACACCCCAACCTACTCCAAAAAATGTTAAAGTATTTCAAAATTTAGCGAGATGGTCACTGGGGGCATGCGGCACCTGTGAAGACATTTTTGATAAAATAGCACCAAAACATTCAATTCTGGTGACTTTGGAAGACTAAATTTAGGCTAAGTTTACTGTAACAGGCCTTGTTTTAAATTCCCTGGGTGAACTTTTTAGATAGCAAAACAAGTTACTGTTTGGATGATGACAATAACAAACCTCAAAATAACAAAATTAAATTAATCTGACTAATCAAATTACCCCCCGAAAGGTCTTTTAAAGTCATTGGTGTGTTAAATGAGAAACAAATTGAACTGACATGATGGGGAAAAAAATGCTTTAGAAAGAAATATTTTGATTCAACATCAACACTTAACAACATATTTTGGAATGTATTGCACCATTTTACACTTCTTTTACAACACTTCTTTAAGACTGGCAGCTTCTGGCGCTTGTCTAAGTGATCATTTGACTGGCTTAATTGGGATAACAGTCCCAAAACATCAATCATAATAAAAAACATAATCATATCAACAGTTGCATAATAAATTAGCTAGAAAGGGAGGAACACAAAGCACAAAAACTGCCAAAAATCAATGGATCCTAAAACTGGACAAAGGCAGACTGCCAGACAACTGGCCAGCCACTGACAGGTCACGTGACAGCCAGCTGAAGATTGAACCCCCACTCAATCAATCAGTTGTTTTTTTCCTTGTTGCTGTTGCTATTTTTTATTATTTACTGTATTGTTTTGTTAATCATCTTCATCTCTGACAATAAAATAGATTATGAATCATTTTAAAATGATTTGTATTTGATTGTTTGGTGTAAAATATCATTAAATATCACCCGTTTATTTCATAGTGCTAAGACAATCTGATAAAGCACAGAAAAATCATCCAACCACGGCCTAATAAGAATCTTTGGCAAAATAACACTGACTATAATATATAGTCACCTCATCGACGCGAGGTGCGTAGTGAAAAATTATGATGTAGTAGGATCATCAATGTGCCTACAATTTGGCATCACGGTACGAAAAACTGTAGGACAGATCGACAGAACATGGGCAATTGGAAAAACTGGATTCATGTTTGCTAAAATAACTCGGCCATTTTAGTAGTAGCAAAAAAAAATGAATATTGTGGTTTATTTAGAATCAATCAGGGTGTGGTCATCTCGCGTTCATGACAGTACAGTGAGGAGTAGAACTGCCGTCATCCATCTCACAATAATATTCATTCGATCAGCCAATCAGTGCGGGGATAGTCAACGAGCCAAGCCCCGCTCTTACTTGATTGGTTGATGAGGAAGGAGGACGGAGCTTGGTTCCTCCGCTGAACAGCTGGAGACTAGGCAGGCGGCTCGTCGTTGTATTTGCAAAGGGAAGGGAAAGGGTTTCTGATCAACGCCACCAGGGCTGGGGGCGCAACAGCGCAGTGGCAAGGCATCTGTAAGACACAGGAAAGAGGAAACCACCTTCGTCTGCATTATTTTATCTTTAATTATTTTACAATGCATAATAAACTGAAATCAGGATCTAAATGAAACAATAAAACCGAATTTAAAGTTTAAATCAATGGTACAGGAGGGTATTATGTCCAGGACGCCTTCCACCTCAACCCAGGAAATCCAGATGGACATGTTCGACCACCACGGCTCTCACGCTCAGGTAAGAGAGACACTGCTCAGCTTAGTGCGAGCAACCAACGAAAGACAAAAAACAACCTGCTGCCCGCTATCTAAGAATGGAGAAATCACATATTTTGTTTATTTTGTTTAAAATCTGAAGTGGTGAAGATTAGTCGTTATAAAGCGTAAGTTATCTCAAATTGTGGTTTCTTGGCAACAAGGCGGCATCATTGCGGTCGCGCTCGGCACAATGTTAGAAGTGATTCTGCGAGGAAAGGCACAGAAAGTTGTTTACCAATGTATGAACTACGTTGTTTCGAATATTGACATTTGTTTAGAACATTTTTTCCCCGGTTATTAATGGGAAAACATTATTTCATCACCTGGTCCCTGTTCACTCTGTCTCTCTAGACAGCTGGCACCTAGAGTCTTGCATTTTTTATGATAGTCTATTCTGTTGATAAGTTACGAACCATCTCTGTTAATTAAACAATAGATCTATCTATCTATCTATCTATCTATCTATCTATCTATCTATCTATCTATCTATCTATCTATCTATCTATCTATCTATCTATCTATCTATCTATCTATCTATCTATCTATCTATCTATCTATCTATCTATCTATCTATCTATCTATCTATCTATCTATCTATCTATCTATCTATCTATCCTAACTGTGATGGCAGTGTTTGTTTTCCTAATTGAACCTAATTCAGACGTAAATTGAAGGGGGAATTTAAAAAGAATCTACTTTTTTTGTTTGTTTTAAAAAGTGGCTTTTGGCCTACTTGTGATGGAGTTTTGGTCCACTTCATCGTCTTTTCTTTTCTATGACCTCTTACTTCAGCAAGCGTGCAAACTTGCCATCTATACTGCTAAGTGCCAAAATCTGCCCGAAATGTAATTGCCCACCTTGGTGATAACATGACCTTGTAAAAGCTGAACAAACAGCTTCCTGATCACTCTCTTCCTCTTTCTTCTCCCCTTTTCTGTCTAAAATTTAGGTTTGTCATTTTCTATTTGTGAGGAGACAGGACAAACTTAATTTTTTAAATACTTCTCCAGTGGCGTAGGTTTGATTTTGAATTGGTGGGGACGGGGACATCATACATATATTTTAAGTTTTGATCGAAATTATTGCTAGGGATATACTAGTCTCACTGAATATTGGTAGGAAAACGTCCCTTGCGTCCCTATACTATATTCTACGCCCCTGCATTTCTCCCCTTTCCTCTCTCTGGCTTTGCTCTTTTCTTTGTTTAGTGGTTTATTTCAGAGGATGGTTGATGTATGAATGTGCAACTGTTCCATTAAGGTCATCCTCCTGTTCAGCATGGCTTATTAGTTTGATGTGTGGATGGATATTTCAGTAGTGTTTCTGATTGTTAGGGCTGTATTTATATAATGGTCTTTATATAATGCAGTAGCGTGAATGTGTGTGACCTGTGCTGTGGAGAGGTGCTCTATCTGAATCATGTCTATACATAGCTGTGAAGAGGCGGAGTGTCGAGAAGCGAGTCTAAATGTGTGTGAACAAGGTGGTTGAGTACAGAAAAAGTGTAGTTTTGTTAAGCATAGGACCATATGTCAGAATTTAATATAGATATTAATATCATTAGCCACACATGGTCATTTGAGGACATTACATTTAAACTTTATTAAGTCTTCTGTTCTGTTCTCTTCGTTTTCTGTGATAAACTAGTGGTGACAGTGTGAAACTCAAATCCTTTCCCCGGCCCTGTGGCACAGCTTTTCTCCCTTAATTACCCAATTAGCCTCAGAGGCTGTTTGTCAACAGGAAATCTCTCATCACCATAGCAATACATCCCTCCTCCCTCCCTTGACATTTTGCTGGCCTTTCTCAGATCTGGTTTTGTTGTATATGAGCATTTCCTGCCTCTCACTAACCTTCCACATTAAAGAGCCCCTATCATAGCATTTGAAATGTTCCTATTTTTGTTTTGGAGTTCCCAAAAACAGTTTAACGTGCATGCAAGGATAAAAAAAACTTTATTTGTCAATATGCATTTATTTTTAACTGATTTCTTTGCTCAACGACTCCCAAATGATTCTTTCGACGATTCATTTTCCCAAACACCTCCTTTGAGTGACGCGAATCTGCGGCGATTGATCAAATGACCCAGTCAGTTGTTACTGGTAGACCGTTGGCAGAGATTGTCAGAAAAGGAACGCCCATAACCAGGATTATAGCTTGTCAAGTGTTAAATTGTATAGTGTTTGAACAAATGTGTCAGAAAAAGTGCACTTTCCACACGGTCCCTTACTCGCGTGTCCGTCAAGAGCGAGCTTTCCCGGCGAAACTCACATTGCGGGAGCTTTTGAGGGACAGTGCTTATTATATAGAAGTCATACAAGTCATTTAGGAGGTAATTGCCATTTTTCAATGAATGTCTGGTGAATATCAAAAACAAAACTAACTTTACCCCGCTTAGGAAGCTGCACAAAGTGAACATGACAACACACACAACACGATATAACTATTGTGCATGCTACAGAAAACATAACAGCAAACTTATTAATAATACTTACAGATTGTGATTCGGAGGAGGACGAACCTGATCCATATACACTGGATACTGAGCCCTCCTTCAGGAACAACCGGCTTGCAAATCCACATTTGAATTCATATGTTTTTGAATGATTCGTCATTAAAATGGCGAGTCTGATAATATTAATAACTACAGACCAATTTCAATCATAAACAGTGTTGTAAAAGTTTTTGAGAAAATGATTTTTACCCAATTATCGAATTATTTAGCTAATAATGATTTATTATCTCAATGCCAATCTGGATTCAGAAAACATTTTTCTACCACTACAGCCCTTCTTAAATTTACTAATGATGTGTTCTTGAGTTTTGATAATCGTATGTGTACAGGTGCGTTGTTTCTAGATCTTACTAAAGCTTTTGACTTAGTGGATCATTATTTACTTTTAGACAAATTGTACTCTTTTGGTTTGTCTACCTCTTCCTTGCTTTGGTTTAATTCTTATTTACATAATCGTCGCCAGTGTGTGTCCTTTGGGGGCAGTTTGTCTCAGTTCACAGTCATTGATAGAGGAATTCCTCAAGGCTCCTCTTTGGGGCCTTTATTATTTTCAATATTTATCAATGATCTTCCGCGTAGCTGTACTGGATGCAATATTCAGCTTTATGCTGATGACACAGTCATTTATTGTTCTAAATCTAATATATGTGACATCAGCACTACATTACAAAATGGTTTTGATTCAGTTCAGAGGTGGCTATTGTCTAATAAGCTTCTACTTAACAAATCAAAATCATTTTCAATGCTTTTTAAAATGAAACAGAATTCTTTAGAAAACTCACTAAATATTTTATTTTTGGATAAAACTCCTATAAAACATACTAGCCAGGTTAAGTATCTTGGCCTGTGGCTTGACTCTGATCTTTCTTTCAGCACTCATGTGCATAATATAACTAATAAGCTCAACTGCTCACTTAGAATTCTATACCAATCAATTAACTGTTTTAATTATCATGTCAGAAAAAGAATCGTTTCTCAACTTCTATTGCCAATCTTGGATTATGCTGACATTGTATATCAAAACACTACTGCCTCTTGTCTTCAGTCCCTTAATATAGTTTACAATAGCCTATGTAGATTTATACTCCGCTGCCCCTACAGAACACACCATTGTGAAATGTACCATCAATTGTCCTGGCTGACCTTATCAAATAGAAGGTGTTTTCATTGGTTACAGTTTGTTTTTAAATGCATTTATATGAATTACCCTGCTTATTTAAAACAATATTTAACTCCATTTAGGTCATCTCATAATTTGCGTCATAATAATCAAATTTATTTTTACACTCCACAGATCAATAAAGAAATAGGAAGATATGCATTTCAATATAAAGCACCATATGATTGGAATAAACTTCCAATTTCAATTCGCTTTTTAACTTCTTTTCCAATATTTAAAAGTCATTTAGCTCAACATCTCCAGAATACATGCAATTGCTTTTGATTAGCATTATTTTATTTTATTATATTTATTTCTCACTGTAACTTTTTTTTTTTTCTCTTGGCATGGTACATATATAGTTTTTGTCTGTATTTTGATGTTGTCTTGGTACAAATGAAATGATATGGTTTACTCTGTTTAGGGAGGAGTGTGTCACCTTTTGGGAGTCTTGCATGAATGATTGTCTTGTTTTGTTTTGGTTTATATATTTAGCTGTATAGCACTACTGCATAGCATTTTTTTGTTTGTTTTTTTGTGTTTTTTTTTTTGTTTGTTTTTCTTGTGTATTTGTTTTTTGTTTTTGTTTTTTGGCTTTTTGCTATTTGTTATGTTAAATTCAAGCTGCTGTAAGGTCAGTTTTTTTGTTTTATTTGAATCTAGAATCGAGGACCCCCTCGAAAACGAGATGGCTCATCTCAAGGGGCTATTCCTCTTTAATAAAAAATGTCAAATAAAATGAATGATGAGAAGAACACAAGGTTCGGGCTATACTGTTGTGGTATCGTTGCAAATATGAACTCTAACCACTGATTCTTCACATGCTCGACCCTGGGCAATGAAAACAAGTGGCTGAACTGTCTTTGCAATGTAGAACACAGCGTCTAATCGACATGATGCTATTCAGCTGAAGTATTTGAATGTATTCTAGACTTCAAGTTTACACTCCCGTCTGTGCACGCAGTTGTTGGGAGCGGCCAATGAGCTAATGTTTTGTATCTACGTCACTACGAAACAGCTAATGACTCGTTTCAAAAACAATTCATTTCATAGACTCAGAGTCGACTCTCACTTTTGAAAGACAATAACTTTATATACGGTGCACTTTCAGATATAAATCTTTGCAGGATGTTTTCATTCCCTTAGAGCTATATTCCACACTACATGAACAGTCATTTTCCAAAAATCCATGATAGGGGCTCTTTAAATGGTTTATGGTCTGTAAACTTGGTTGTTGGATTAAAATATTTTATGTGTATTGTGTACTGCATTGCTCTCTGATATCCTGCTTGGTCTTTGGCTACAGTGATGTATGCACAGACAAATGCCAAAAAACAAGTTGGTAGTTGGATTTCAGAATTTGATAAAGTCATTTTCACACTGCCCTGACACCGACAAATGCTGATTGGACATGTTCAGGTGAAAACAAACCCTGACCAACGCCAACAGACCCCGACAGGGGTAACACACTGATCCGCTAAAACCCAACAAACGTGTTGTTTGTTGCAATTTGTCTGTGCAGTGTGAATTGGCCTTAAAGGTACAAGTGGTGTCAAAAATGAAATAAGGTTATTTTCACCATAGTTATTTTTAAAACTATTACAATAATTGGAACAAGACTGAAATAAAATAAAATATAAATATTACTTGTAAAACTTAAACTTAAAAATGTGAATTAAAACTGCTGAAATAAATAAGTTTAAGTACTAAAATTACTGAAACTAAAACTGAAATTCTTGTTTGATCCAATCTATTCCATACAGGACAGATTATGTTGTTGAAGTCAATCATTTTAACCCTTAAAACTATTATAAATGTATATAACTATTACTATTATAATATTTTGTTTATAAACTATTATAAACAAAATATTATAGACATATTTAAACTTTTTTTTCTTTGAAAAAAAATTATTCATGCCTAAAAGTTTCCTGGACAGTGAGTCAGACGCATCTCATACGCTTTTCATACGCTTTTTTTTTCATATTCGTCATTCGGTGGCGAAATTGAATCGTCAAAACACCTCTCAAAATGCTTGCTACGAATGTGAAAAAACGCAGAAAATTGTACCCGATCCTAATTTTTTTATGACTTGACTTTCGGAGACAGTGTGTGTAAGCGTGATTGACACAACTTGAGGTCTTATTTAGTTTTTTAATGTGCGACAATTATGTCAACTTGTAAAGGCAGTGCTAAATTGTTCTTTTTTGCGACTTTCAAAGACTATTATGAGACATTTATAGTGTGCAGTAGCCATCCCCACAGTGGGGTTCTGTCCTTCTGTTGGTGTTATGTTATTTCATCTGCACAGATAGAGGCAAGTTCTTGGGATGTTTACCAATATTGGTAAAGATATGGCATTGTGGTTTGGTTTATGTAAAAGTTTCCAGTAAGCTTGCAATTAGTCTGTGCCTGTAATCATCATTATTAGAGTAACCAATGCTGAAAACCATTGTTGTTGAGGCTTTTTTTCCCCTGTGTTGTTCCCAGAATCAACTAAAGAGCAAATGTGTCAGACTTTGCTCTAGTTTCCATAAGACCTTATTGTAGTGGTGTTTAAAAAGCTTAACATTTTGCTCAATTAGAGTTTTCTACAGCAAATTTACCATAGACAGTAAAAGAAATGGACACAGCGACCCCATAGACTTCAACGGAGAAAAGTGAAGTCAATTAGAACCACTCACTTAGTGCTCACACTGTGCTTTATGGTGTAGATGCAACCTGTCTCGCTGTTGTACGTCTTCTAATAGCTGTGCCAAGAGGAATCTGAATCATTCCCTTCTGAATCTTGCAGAGCTGAAGATCAATTTATCATGTCTCTATGGGAGTCGCCTGTTATGACGCAATCGTTAGCCTATTTTTACAAAAACTGCTTCTATGGTTCCATAATGTAAGATACAAAGTAATTGAGACTTTTATAGACCATTTCACAAGATGTAAACAACACTGGTCCAGAAACACTTCCTGTTTCAGTTTGTAACTGTTTTCTTTATTTCACAATTCACATGTAAAGAAAACATCTTAAAGATGTTTGTTTAACTTTTTGACTCAGTTTTAAATGTTCTGTTGGTTGTATTTTATCCCAGCTTTTATGTAGTGTTAAACTGAAGCAGGAAGTGCTTCTGGACCAGTGTTGTTTACATCTTGTGAAATGGTCTATACATTGTCGTGTTTCTTTAGAAATAAACAATGGACAAATGGAGTCTTTAAACACCTCAGATGTAAAGTTTTTGCTGCTAAAATGAATAGGAGTCAATGGATTTGCTAACAACAGGGGAGGGCTTGTCAGCCAATGGCGGCCCCGGGTAGACTTCAGTTTCCGGCTAGTGGATTACCCCCTTGATGTTTACACTATTCAAAATCCTCTAATATTGACTGTTGGACAGAGCTATTAGAGAAAATAAATGAAAAGATGTTGATAAGCTCAGACCCTTTTTTTTTTCTGACATCTTATACATATGCTGCCCGGGACCGGGATTGTTTTTTTTTTTTTGTTGTTTTTTTGTTTTTTTTCTGGAATTAGCATCTAATGCATACAATATGTAATTAAATCTGTTATGTAATCATTATTCAGAAAGAATATTGTATTGACCTTTGTGGTTTCTTTATAAAAAGAAGGAAGAGGATGAGAGTCAGGATGTACCTGATACTGTATGTCCAATGCTCTGTGTTCTATGATGTTAATGCGGATCCCTGTGGATATCATATGATGGAGGAGGGATGTACGGATGGCAATGGGAAAGGGTTGAGGTGTATGTGTGTGAGTGTTGAGTGTGTTTTTCTTTTTTTCTCTGCTCAAAACCTTGAGTGAATCTAGTTAAGGGTTGGAGGGTGGGTTTGGGCTGGGTAGGATATGAGGAGGAGAGGAGAAACTGGTATCAGAATAAGCAACAATTTGTGCCTCTGAGGCTCTGTTGTATTTGTAATCATGACCTAATCAGTCTATTTTTTTTCTTGTGAAGATGTTTCCTCTCCAATGTGTAAATGATGATTGTAAGAAAACAAATAAGTAATTGATCCCTATTTAAATTGAAAACTATTTACCCCAAATGTCAGGCTACCTGTATACAATACTTGTATAACATTATTATTTGTTAGAAGTTCTAAGTCAAGTTAAATGAAATGGTGCAAGTGCACATGTTTGCGATGTGATTTTTACAAAAGAATGTGTTTATAAAATGATTGTGTTCAGGAAACTTTTGTGTAATTTGTATAAAATCTGGTTTAAACCTATTTTTTGTATAAAATGTATTGTTCATGTATCTCTTTAATTAGATTTTTAAATATATAAGGTCTTTGTGTCATTTGGAGCGACCACTCGTCATATGGTGCGGCTAATAAAAGCAATCACTGAATTAAATTTAAAATAAATTATCTTATTTGTGGCTGAAATTTTGAATCACTGATACAGTATACCTAATTTAATTATATTTTAAAAATATTTTATCAGTTTAATGTGATTTACAGGAAAAAATAAGTCTATTAACTAGATATAAGAAGGCAACTCTGAAATTATAGAACAAAACATTAGATCATTATTTACACAAACTCAAAAGAAATGCAAATACTTTGTTTCTAAACACTTTCATTACTAAGAACTTGTAAAAAATGTAAAGTATGTTAAGGAAATTAATTAATTTTAAGATAAATCACAGTTGCATCACATTAATTTTTTAAAAGCTTAAATTTTTAAAAGCTACACTGTGTAACTCTTTTAGTTTATTCTTAGCTAAAAACACTTAGTTCTTTCAAAAATATATGTGCTCATTAATGTATATTTACTTCGTTCAAGTAATAAAGTATTCTCGTGAGTGTATAATATGCCATTGAAAATACATACGGGTAAGCGGTTCTAATGTCGGTCGCCATGTTGCCCCTCCATCTTGAAAGTACATTAGCCAAAGAGGGACATACCCGTTAATTCAAGCTTCAGCTTTCGCGTTTACGTTTGAGTTAATACTCATGGACGAGGTCGAACTGGAAGCCATGTTAATCTTGGACTACATTGGCCACCGTAAGAGTTAAAACGAAATCGGAATTGAGAGGAACAGAAACTAATATTCACTGGATGGTCATATATCTTTTCACCGATAGATGGGGGTAAAAATTACACAGTGTAGCTTTAAGGCTACGACCACCAATTCATCTAGTTGAAGAAACACTAAAATCACTTAAATTTATGTGAACACAACATTCTTAATGTTTGATCAATTGCAACAGGTATTATTTTAATAATATTATTACAATATTAAAAGCCAGGTTAACAAAAAATGTACTGTTGATTAAAATGGTGAATTTGTTATTACAGTGCAGGTAACCCAATGCACAAGACAATGGTGACACCAGAATAAAAATATTCATGATTCTCAAGTTGAAAACAGAATTTTTCTTTTACCACTTTAAGCAACTTTTTACTGGTAAGTGCCGTGGTAACATAAGACATTTGACATTATCAGGACCCACAAATATTCCCCATTGCATTATTATCCATTATATTCAACATTATACTAGTTTAATGTATACTGACATGAAAACATTTTCTCACACAGTAATTTATATTTTGGGTGTACACAATAGATATTGTCACCATCCACGATGTTACATTTTTGCAACATCGCAATATATTGTGACACGATATATTGTTACACGCCTACCTTATAGTGCTGACTACAGTGATTGTATTTCTTTAAAAGAAATTGTCCTTTATTTCTTTTATTACACAAAAAGACCATTTGTATCTATAAAAGATTTTTATTCAAGCACATACATTTTAACACAGCGACTTTCAGATGTTCTTTACCATGAAGGACTTATGACAGCGTTAACTGTGTGAACCTTGGATGAACCCTATATAATAACTTTCCGATTTAGTCAGTTTCTTTGGTGTTTAAGTGCTTTTGTTTTTGCAAGCATTTGTGTCAGAAAGCTTGTGTGCATCGCTGTTAATGTGGGTTTTGAACATGTCACAGTATTGCCTGATCTATCAGGGTCTTTTAGTGCCACCAAACCCAATATATCCTCTTTCTGGTCTCGATGGCAACGGAGTCTGGCGCCTATGAATTCCTGCCCTGCCAATGGTAGCCAGGCCATTGGCTAGTGTTAAGGCCAATCAGATTACTGATTCCCAGAGAACACTGGAGGACATAAGTAATTATGCGTAATCATATCTGGACACATAGACAGGATACGTGGAATCTACAGTTTGTGTTTGTGTGAGTGGGCATGCATACAAAAAGGGAGTCCATTATTTTTAATTTTCTTTAATTCCTCTCTCTCTCTTTTTCTCTAATGTTCCCTCTTTCAGGGGAAGTGTGCAAAGAGGAAGAGCCGTTTCAAACGCTCAGATGGCAGCACCTCCTCAGACACAACCTCCAACAGCTTCGTCCGACAGGTAAGAGAGAAGAGAAAGTTCCTAATGAAATGCCTTGTGTCATTCACTCTGCCATCATAAGGTATAATTCCCCCTTTTGAACCATAATACACCATGTAATCTGGTTCTCAACATTCATTTTAAAACAGCTACATAATAGCTATTGTTGTTGCTGTCTTGAGGTCAAAGGCTCTAATCTGTAGTTTGTGCTGTTGGTCTGTGGGTGTTTTTGCATTTCCTCTCCTTTTTACAGGAAGATTTCTGCTCTTCAATCCTACAGGATGCAGTTTTTAATACTGGAACAAACAAATATGTTGTTTAGATACATGAGTATATATTTGGAATAGTACATTCATTCATACCATTTGCATTGTGCATTATGTACATTATTATGTCACTCATAGCGTAATTTCCCCTCTTTATTACCTTTACCGTCATTTAGGGATCCATTGAAGTACATTTCTAAGAAAACAAATCTATTAATTAGTAATTTTTGGGGCTCTGTTAAATGTAATCACTATCAAATCTCAAAATGAATATCCATTTTTCATACTCTACAATGTATACAGTGTGCAGATGCCCATTCAACAGGGCAAAAGAAGATTTGCTTTGAGTGTTGTTTGTTCAGTTTGAACAGCTTGTTTGCATCTCTGTTCAGAAGGATAGAGCATCAGGAACAAGTGGATGGTTTATTTTAATGGTGTCTCAAATTATATGTTTGTTCAGAGCATTTTACTGCAGATTGTTTTGTAAATGAGGCACCACGTAATGGAGAGTTCGCAAAGAAACTTTTGTTGAAAGATGAAGCAGTCAACTGTATGTAATATCTGACAGCAGCTACAGCGCAAACATGGCAAACATATCCATGATATGGGTCCTCTTTTTAAAACATTTGCTCACATACAGTAGCCAGGGCGTGTCAATATTTTCCCCAAATGCAATGACATTAGCCAATCAAAACAGTGGCCGTTTATTGACAAGACTTAAAAGAGCCGCCTCTTAAAAATGGATAATTTCAGACAGAGGGTTAGAATGAGGGTTGAAAATAATCATTCGATTTCTTCCAAATGTATAAAACATATATTTTGGGGCGATCTCGAAACACATTTTCGGGCAGACTCATCACGGAGAATCACTAGTAACTTAGACTGCTGTTTACCTACTGCGAGGTTTCCAGTAGGCATGGCCTCCTAGGGCAGCGAAGCAAGTGCATTCTGGGAGTTGTTGTCTTTCATTCACACGAGCCAAAAATACAACTTTCTGTCTTTTCTCAGTCTAGAAAGCTCCAAATTCCAAAATTATTTCACATTTCTTCTACATAAATGACCCATTTTAAATACACATTCATCTTTCCAGAGGAGGACTAACACTTTAAAGGGTTAGTTCACCCAAAAATGAAAATTATGTCATTAATGAGTAATGACTCACCCTCATGTCGTCCCAAGCCCATTAGACCTAGTTTAAGATATTTTAGCTTTAGTCCGAGAGCTTTCTGTCCCTCCATGTATGTACGGTATACTGTCCTTGTCCAGAATGGAAATAAAGACAGCATCAAAGTAGTCCATGTGACATCAGTGGGTTAGTTAGAATGTTTTGAAGCATCGAAAATACGTTTTGGTCCAAAAATAACAAAAACTACGACTTTATTCAGCATTGTATTGTCTTCCGGTTCTGTTGTCAATCTACGTTCAGTGATACTGATGACATAAGACCTAATTTCATTGTAGAGATTAGTGTTCCTGAGAGATAAATGCTGCTGAAGATGTTTTGTTATGGAATAGAATGGCCAAAGCCACAGAATTATGTTTTTTTGCTTTCAATAATAAGTTCGCCGAATGACCATGCCATTAGGGGGGCACGTTGTGTCATCTGGGCGACGGGCCTGCATTAATCAGCTGTGAAAATAACTATCAGCTTATTATTTTGTGCAGAATTTTACTATCGGTGCTAAATGTAGTAGTGATGTCCTGTGATAAAGTAGAATGTTACAATTTTAAATGTTTATCATTTGTATAACCAAAAAAGTAGTAGATTTGTTGTTTGTTAGTAAATTACTCATTTCCCCCCACCCCACCCACCTATTCACCTATTCTCACATTTACCTGTCCTTAAACATCTTACATGTGCTCAGAAACTTGTGTAACTTAGAAGATGTTTAGTGCTCTTTTAAAGATTTTCCTTACCATACAATGTTCTTTATGAATATTTATGACTATATAGTACGTTTCTGTATGTGTCTGCCCCCTCTTTGGCAGCAGAAAGCATAAAAACCTGTGTAGGCCTTGGTCTCATACACACCCACGCGTATGAACAAATACACACACACACATGCTCTTATACTGGCCAGGTTTCCATGGTGACAGGGTCCCGAATCTCCCCGCAGCATGCTGCACACTGCACAGTTGGAAGAGGAGGAGGCAAATGGATTAGTGTGCTTGTGTATATAGGTGCATGTGTGTGTGTGTTTGGAAGCGTATAGGCCGATGTGTTGATTGCTGACAAAAAATGTGTGGTCGCAAACAGCCGGGGTCATATATGAGTCCCACTGTCAGACACACACACATGATTGTATCGTTGTGAGGTAATGGATGTGACTCTCAAGCCAGTGTTTCTTAGGATGAGGCCCCTGAATAATTGATCCTGTATCCACATGGGCTCTCCTGATGGATCACTTTCTAATTTTCCCATTAGTTTGGGTGCCATTAGATCAGAACTGAGGTTGAGTGCTTCTTGGCTCTCTCAGGACCGGCTGGTGTGTTTGATCATGGCTTCAAATGGCAGCTGCACAACAGAACATCCCCTCGCATTTCCCTTTATCGGTCACACCTGATGCCACACAAAAGCTGCTGCGTGCTAGCCGCTTCAGTACATGTGTTTGCATGAGTTGTTTACTGTGTTTGTTTGTCTGGGTTACATCTGTTTTGTCTAGAGTGGTATTTCATATTTATCTCTATGGTTTTATTGCATGCAGAGAGTATATGAAGGAAGATAAGGAGGGTTTATATTTGTGTGTTTTTGATCAGGTTAAAGGGGCCATATTATGGATTTTGTATTTATATGTTTATATATTTTTAGTTGTTTTGTCTTTGTTGTCATATTTAATTTTTATTACCATTTTCCATCTGTTCTGTCAAAATGTAGCCTATGTTGTATCTCAATATTTAGCTTTTCTATAAAAATGATTTTTTTTGTAATGGAAATAATTTTTATAGCATTATTCTTGTAGCATTTAAATCAATTGATTTTAATTTTTATTTATTCATTTATTTAGATAAATGCAACTGTGCAACTATAAATGGAATAAGCCCCTGGTATAACAATAATGCTACAATTTTTGTTATGTAGCAGTAGGCTATACTGTATATAGAGTAAGAAGTTGGCTAGTATTCTGTTTAGCTTTGTTTTATTTTTGTACTGGAGAAAAAGTTTAGCCTTTTCATATCAAGGTTTTTCTGTGTGTCAAAACAAACTCCTCATTATATGGCATTTTTATTAATGGCATAAACATGCATTTCCACAGAAAATGAAGTGTTCTAAATGAGCTATAAAGGTGCATTTAAAAAGGGAGAGAGAACATGGCAAAGATGATGAGTGGTGACAGACAGAGTGTTATAGTGAGGTGATGGGCGAGTGGCTGTTCCTGAGGGCCAAAGGTCACACTATAGTGGTTTTAACATACAGAGAGCACTTGCAGATGCCAGCATATATGCCAATGTATGGGACTCCAAAAGTCAAAGTTTATGTTCTATCTATTTATTTAGTTTTTTTATATTATTGGACTTACAATTTGATCTGGTTTTCAACTCACAACAATAGACAGACTGCTTTAGCAAACAGAAGACCAGCAATGCATTTTTTGCATAAAAAGTTCATATAGGTTTCAATTAATCAATGGAATAAATTACATTTCAACATATATTTGAAAAAAAAAATTAAATATTACAATTTTTACTTTTATAAATGCAATTAAATGTCTTAATAAAAAAAAAAAAACATATACAGTATACTGACCCCAAACAAACCACAAACTTTTGAAATCAGAAATTGTCCATTAGCCACTGACTGATCTGCCTGTTGATAGATTTTGCAAATGACACAAGGACAAACAAACTGTTCATTAATTGGCCGGGCAGACACAGTTATTGTCCAAAAATCTCAAAATGTTCAAATACTGGCAGGTTTATCTGCCTGACCAATATATATCAGTCTATCACTTAGGTCACATGCAGGTGATTTAAAACTAAATGAAGCTGTTCTACTTGAGTGAGTCAACCTCACTAAACGAATGTGTGGGATCTACCGGTGACAGACACAATGAGTCAGGTGCCCTTCTGTCATGTAGAGAATTGTTAAAGAGGGTCTCTTACTAACCCCTCCTTGCTCTTTCTTTCTTTCTTTCTTTCTTTCTTTTTTCTGTTGGGCTGATGATTACATTCCCACTCTTTCTGGCACTCTTCACTCCATACCGTAGCTAAACACGGAAGAGACTGAGCGAGAGAGAGAGAGCGAGGGAAAGAGAGAGAGAGAGAGATCTGCCCCTGCCTGTCACAGCTAAATTTAACCCCTCAGTCTGCAAATGTAGCACAAGTCCTGCAATTTGACCCCGACTACCCCCCCCCCCCCCAATTCTCTCTCTCTCTCTCTCTCTCGTTTTACCCTCTTCAACTTAGAAACTAAGTACAGGTTTAAACTGTGTGTGTGTGTGTGTGTGTGTGTGTGTGTCAAAATGAGCCAGGAGGGGGTGTTGAGGTTAGCAGAGCAATTGGTCACTCTCTAACACACACTTATAGTCCTCTGCCTAACTTTTGAAACACACACCCATCACAGCTAGACACACATTAATATACTCTTGTGTTTTACACACACATCGTGTTCGGTGTGGACTCGGATCTTTGGGTGTGACTCTGTGTTACCGTTACAAGGAGCAAGTGCCATGGAGACCAACGCACGAATTCAAAGGCCCGCAATGGTAAGAAACACCTGGAAATGTGTGAGTTTATGGCGGGGTTAATTAGGCTTAC